CTCTCTCTCTCTCTCTCTCTCTCTCTCTCTCTCTCTCTCTCCCTCGTCGCGCCCGTTTTTTCCTGTTGGTTTTCTTTTTCCTTTTTGATTTGCACTTCAACTGATTTTTTTTTCTTTGCTTCTTTTTTTCTTTTTTTCTTTTGTTTCTTTGTTTTCTTTTGTACCAGTAGCTCAGTGCGCCGACCTCTGTCCGACGAGGCGCGTTAACGGCCGCGCCGGAGAAAAATAGCTGGGCGAGGTACTGGTGGTTTAAAAGGTGTGGGACGTTTGACCCTGAAAAAATCCTGAAAATTTAGGGCTCTGTTAACCGATTCTCTTAATTTCCTCTATCAATTCTTCTGGAGTACACCTTATTATTACTCAACTACTCCATTGCCATATTACCTTGTAAGCGCCAGGCAACCATAATCTCTTTCCCATCGGCCCCATCTCTGTCATTCAAAAATTCGCAAATTCGGGAGCATCCATGGTCAAGCCAGGCTGAACCAGACCCAGAGAGCGCCGAAACTAACCATCAAAACCGAAATCTAACTTCATAGGACAACTCGCAGTGCCCTAAAACCCCCAACTTGCATTTTACCTCGCCTGAATATGTTGGGAAACGAGCGAGATAGGCTGCCTCCAGTCCCGCCATATCTCTCTCTCTTCACCCTCGGCGCACTCACTTTCTCTTTTACCTCCCCTTTTACTAACTTTCCCGCCATTCTGAATGCAGATTCAGGGTCGCCATGGCAAAAAACCCTAAGCTAGCATCTTCCCCGGCTCCATTCCCTCAAGGATCGAGCAAACATGATTTTTCTCCTTTCTCTTCCCCTCTTCTCTTCACCGTGCTCTTCTTCTTCTTCGTTTTCTGTTGTTGTCAACCTGATCATGCTCTTCTTCGTTTAGCGCTGCTCCTAGCGCAGCTCTCCACACTCGGTCCGTTATTCTAAAAACTAGACTCTTCTATGGCGTGCAGGCATACCTTGTGACTCCTGACTTCGACTAATGAGGCATGCCCTACGAAAGCTCCCAACCTACTGAAAAACCGAGCGAATGTGGCCCTAACCTACCACTTGGTTCATTCGCTCAACGAGGGGGGAGCTGGAAAAAAAAAAAGAGGAAAATCAGACCTAGAGATCTCGGTGATTCCGAGATTCACCTAAGAGCATACCGGGCGCTACCCTACTCCTCCGAGGTTGCATATACGTTCAGATACACTCATATTCAGAGGTAAGTAAAAAAAACAGAAAGAAAGAAGAAAATAAGAGAAAACAAAAAGCAGAAAAAAACGTACTCAACCCTTGGCCTGAGCACAGTAAGATTCAAGCTCAGAACCTGTATTTTAGTGGTTCGAGGGTGTACCAGCTGAGCGAGGCCCTCAGGTGCTGGTCCCACAGGCCTGTTCAACAGTTCATGGGGGTACAACTGAGCTAGGCCCGCCGGCAGCAGTTCCCGCATGTCTATTTTCAGCAGTTCGCGGGTGTACGAATTGAGCTGGGTCCGCAGCTGCTGGTCCCACAGGCCTGCAACACCCAACCCTCTCTCTTTTCACAGCAAGCTGAGGTTAATGGGCGGTGTACCCCCTGGCCATGGCTGCCCAGGCTTCCACCACCCTGCGGGTCCTGGTGCAGATCTTTGCGATAATAGCAAATATTCAAATACGAACTTTGAGGGCCGAAGCGGCCTGCTGCTAGGACAACTTGTGTCGGGCAGCCAGCACTGCGGCAGCCTTTTAGTGGTGCCTGTGGCCCCGCCCGGGCATAGTTCACCAGCTTGCGGGCCTTGGTGGGCATACTCACACTCGAACCTCTCGTAGTAGATGGTGGGTGGCGGACTGTGCCACCACAGCGAGCCTCGCCACCCTGGTTTCTTTCCGCCTCGTGGGCTAATTACCCACTGGCTCGTATGCACGTTGAACTCCCCGGTCCGAGTTTCAAGACGGGCGGATAGAGAAATTTTATCAGCATCCAGGACATGCCGAAACCCGAGCGGGCCCGCCAAAAGGGCGTGTGCTCAAGGTCCTCGACTGCCGTAATGGCCACCCGTGTCCGGCATAGTAGTAGCCGAGCCAAACCCGTAGGGTCTGACGTCGGTCTCAGAACCGATTACCAAGTCAAAGATATCAAAAAAATAAAAGTCGAAATAAAAATAAATATAAAATAAAATAATAAAAATAAGTATAAATGCGAGGTAACACAAAAAGTAAGGGGACTAGGGGTCGCGTGTCCCGCTGGCCTGCGACGTTGCGTCCCGCTAGGCCGCGCATGGTTGCGCCTTGCCGTCGATACCCCGCGCGCGCCGCTCACCCGATCGAGGACTCAACTC